GCCTCTGACAGACCCACAGAGCTCCCCGTGCAGAGGGGTGCCCGCTAAACGCAGGGCACGGGCAGCCCCTGTCCGCTCAGCACCTGCCCGGGGTCACCTCCCCACCCCCCAGGGCTATGGCCACTCTTCTCAGGGAAGAGGAGCCGCAGCGGCCTTCAAAGCCAGAGCCAACTCCCTCGGGACAGCTCTACACCTTCTCGCCCCTCAGGGAGGCGGACCATCAGCTACAGGAGAACGAGAGCTGCACCTCTCCCCAGTTACACAGACACCTGGCTCCAAACACTAAGGTTTCCTGTCAGTCACACTTCCGACTTCCAGTCTCTGCCGTCTGTAATGTTTTCCAACAGATCTGAAGATAACAGCCCAATTTCATGAGAAAAAAAATTACGCGCACGCGTGTGTGCGTCTATCTATAGTCAAAATGGCCTCAGGTCAGAAAGGCCAGGGGCCAGCAGAAGAGTCCAGGCCCAGCCCCGGAGGGCTTGTTGCAGAGGCCACGCCCTCGAGGGAAGCGGCATTGTGACAGCACCAGCTTCACTCTAGAATCGAGCAGACTGCAGCTGCACGACAGGAAGACGCCCGCCTCAAGAAGGTGGTTTCCAGAATGAACACACCTCCGCCGCACCGTGGAGCCCTCTCCTTCCCTTCTTTCCTCCTTCCTTTCTTCCTTCTTCCATTCCCACTTCCTCCATGTGCGGCAAGTGGACTCAATTCCAGGCACGCGCAGCCCCATTGCCTGGCCGCTCAGCTGGCGTCTGACAGGAACTACAGAAAGACCAAGGCAGAAGAGACATGGCAGACACTGGGCTCCAGCAGTGCCCAGAGAACGCACATGCCCAGCAGGGGCACCTTTTGCCACCAGCGGCGGTGACAGGGTTCCGCTGCAGAAAAGCTGGGCAAAGAAAGGTCAAGATCTTTCTCTAAAAAACAAACTCAAAGTCATCAGCACTGGTTTTCTGCCAACTGAGAAACAAATACTACTTTCTACTCTGACTAGTTGGGCTGGAGCGATAGCACAGCGGTAGGGCGTCTGCCTTGCACGCAGCCAACATGGCCGACCTGAGTTCGATTCCTCCGCCCCTCTCGGAGAGCCCGGCAAGCTATGAGAGTATCTCGCTTGCGCGGCAAAGCTTGACAAGCTACCCGTGATGTATCCAATATGCAAAACAAAACAAAACAAAACCAGTAACGACTACTCTCACAATTTGCTGTGAGACGTCACTGGTGCCCACTCAAGCAAATCGATGAACAACGGGAGGACAGTGCTACAGCGCTACTCTGACTAGGTAAAGGTAAAGGCCCTCCCGTTGATCATCGATTTGCTCGAGCAGGCCCAGTAACGTCTCCATTGGAGATTTTGTTGTTACTGTGTCTGGCATATCAAATACTCTCGGTAGCTTGCCGGGCTCTCCGATTGTTAGTCATTCGAAAAAGACAAATAGGAAATAAATACAAACTACCAGTTTCCTGGCAACTGCATGAGTTCCAGAGAGCGCGGCCTCTGGTCTTCTCAGAGTGGACCCTGCCAGGATGGTGCTGGGCACCGGCGGGCAGCACTGGGGGGTCAGACTTGGGGACGCAAGCCTGGTTCTGTTCTTTGGGCCACCCCCGGTGGTGCTCAGGGCTTACTCCTGGCATGGCTCGGAAAACTATATGAGGTGCCAAGGGTCGAGCCCAGGGCCCTACCCGCTGTACCATCGCTCTGGCCCCTGCACCTCAGGCCTTTGTACGGAATGAACCATGCCCGGGCCCCCTGCCTTAACTTGACAGCCAAGCAGTTCTGCTTCGAACAACTGACTTCTGAGGAAAAACCAGACAGGGCCTCATTCAACCTAGACGCAGTAAGGGAGCGAATCCACCAGGCACCCCACCCCCCGCCCCACCTGCAGAATCCACGACATGAGAGTTATCGAAATCTCTCTTGCAGCAGAGAAAACCCAGACAAGAACCCACATCCACCTTCTCTGCTTTTAGAGATGTTGCTGGGTCAATGTCCCCACCATCTGCCAGGCCTCGCTTGCCTCCCACCAGGAGCACCTCTGCCCAAGTCTCACGGCCCCGAGGTCTCTGCAGGAACACACCCTGGAATCGATCCAGAAATGCCAACTTCACCCATTACCCCCAACTACGCCTAGAGAGAGTTACATGCACAAAGGCAGGAGGACAGAGTTTCCCCCAAGAATAACAGAGTGGTGAGGCGTACAGATCAGTTTTCTCCAAAGAGCTGAAGGACAAAGGCCGCAGGTCTAATCCTCAGATGCATGCGTCAACAGCCAAAGCCCCCCACCCAATCCCCTTTTTTTCCTATGGCTCAAAATAACTTGCTCCCTGACAGGGTGACAAGGCGCTGCTCTGACGACACAGTTCCAGGAACAGCTAGAGAAACACTCTTTTTCCTTATTAATGCACTGCCTGGCAACTTGGACTCAGCAGGCCGACACGCTAAGCTCGGCCACTCAGAAATCCTAAGAACCCTCAAGTCTCGAAGCAAGTCTACCCCACTGGCTCCAAGCCCAGCAGCAGACAACACAGCAGGGGGCCTCTCCCAAGCCCTGGCAGACCCCAAATCAGTGGGCACAAAGACACCACCACAGCATCCTCATGATCAGGCCCCGGGCTGCCAGCAAGCCCCACTCCCAGCGTTAATTTCCCGTCAACTCCGCTAACCACGCCAACACTAACTACATACTCATAGGGGTCAGTTACCCCTCAATGCACTGCACAGGTATTAACTCACTCACTTCCCAGGCCCCATGGGACTCTGTGAGAGGGCTAGAAATACTCTGGCCCAGATTGCCACCTGGTTTCTCTTCCCTATTTCTGGCCGTGCTGTAAAGCTTACATAACCTAATTTGCATTCTGGTGCTATTTTTGAAACTCTCCAAAGATCACTGCTCCAAGCATCAATGGAAGCTGTTAGCTTCACTTGAAACAATAATGAGAGGAAGCATACCTATTCCCACAACTACCTCGATTCCTGACTTAAACCCATCTTTCCAGAAGATGCGCCTGTCAATGGAACTCATCCTCATCTAGGAAGTATGGCTCTGTGCTGGGGAGCCACTGATGTGAAGCACAACTCAGCATGAGGTGGCTTCCTGGCTTGGCCTTGCTATTCAGTGTTCATCTCCCGTCCAAGCCTCCCAGCACACAGGAACCTCAGGTCACGGGACGGCCTGGCAGCCAATGGCGAGAGCGAGCACGTGAACAGAGGAGGCTCTGCTTGTCCTCCCTGACCTCAGAGGGCCCCAGGCTCCAGATGGCTCTGGAACACAGCAGCTGCAGGAAGACCACTGACAGAGAAAGACTGGTCTCGGCTTTAACCGCACTGAATGTTTCTGGGGTTGAGGGCTCTAGGCTGTTAGAAGGAAATTTCACTGCCTGGGAGGCAGGAACTCACAGGAATCGCCTCACGCCATTCCCTCGATATTGAAAATTTTCAATTCTAAGAACAGGGAGCTTACATTGAATGGCTGATCGTGAAGGTAAAATGTCTCTCATTTTTATCTTAATATATATAGATGATCGGCATTTAAATTAACCATTTTGTTCTTCGCTATGGCATTAAAACTGTTTATAAAGGGCAAGAAAATCTGCTATTCATTTCATTTAGTTTGCTTACTTGGACAGAGAGCCAAGAACATACACAGAGTTGGTTTAACTGCCAGAAGTAACTTATATTGTTTCTTTTTCTTTTTTTTTTTCTTTTTTCTTTTTGGGTCACACCCGGTGATGCTCAGCGGTTACTCCTGGCTCTGCACTCAGGAGTTAATCCTGGCGGTGCTTGGGGGACCATATGAGATGATGCCAGGGGCTGAACCCAGGTCGGTCGCATGCAAGGCAAACGCCCTCCCCGCTGTACTATCGCTCAGTCTCCTACTGAATGAAGTTTTGAATGATGCCCTTGGCTGGCATGTTTGTGGGCCCATGCTACTAAATCATTTATAAATACACCATTAAGTTAATCATCTGATGATACTGCTTTTGCACATATTTCCCAACTTAAAATGTTGACAACAGGCCCAATTCCACCAGCAGAAAGACCTCAGACTTACAATGCTTCCCAGGGCCGACCTCTGATTCACTAGCACCCAAAGAATCGGGCACATAACGGGCTGTGTGATCGGATCTGGAATGTAGTTGGTACTTAAGCCTCTAGACTTTGTACAGTCTTTTTTATGGATGCCAAAGCGACATTCGACAGACATACAGCTTCTGTATGGCAGGGGAAAAGTTGTTCCAGCAACCTTCAAAGTTAGTAATAAAAAGAAAACTGCTACTTAGAGACAAATATAAAACATAATATTCAATTTAATCTCTATATATCAAATACAGCTTTAGCATAAAACATCTATCACATATAAAATGCATTTATGGGACACACTAAATGAAGCAAATCCTTATTAAAATATTTGGCCTAATCTTCTCCCCTTTTACAGGAACTCACAGGAGCTGAGTCAGGTGGGGACGTCTCATTTACCCAAGGAGCCTAGAACAGAGATGAACTGCTCGAGGCTGCCTGGTCTCTATGCACCGGGTATTCGCCACCCGAGTCTCACCAGAGTTCCTCTGCAAACAGTGGAGCTTAACTCAGTCACAATTCTAGATTTTCCCATAGTTACCTCAAGGTTTTGGTATTTTTCATTTTCTATTGCTTTAAATGTATGGCTTCTTGCTGCAGTTGTACTGGGACATACAACATAGATCAGAGATTCTCATTTCTTGGAGAAATTTCTCTCCTTAAGAAATTGGCACTTTGACCCTCAGCTTATATAACAGCTACCCAAAAAAAAAAAAAAATCCAGCCCAGTCAGCACTGTGGCTGACCTGGCTGCTCCGGCCTCTTCTCAGGGGACTCCCTCCGCTCTCATGAACAAGTACATGTGTGCAATTCACATTTAGGTCACATCCTAAGTCTCTACACACACACACACACACACACACACACAGAGACACACACACACACTTCAGCAAACGTAAAACGTCTCTCAACTAAGAAGTAAATTACAAGGGATTCAAACAAATGCTGCAAATAACTAGTTTACATTTAGATCATAAAAATCTTTAAGTTAGTGTGATGACATAAGACCTAGGCGATCAAATACATCATATATGATTGTCATATATGCATGTTGTGTTCATTGATTTTTTTAATTCATTTTCTCTTTAATCAGAAAATAAAAGAGCTTACCTTTGTATACTGAGACCACAGCTTACAGTCACTATATCTCGGCCTATTTTATACAAGTGATATGGCTACGAAGGTCCGAGGAGAACGAGAATAAAGTGAGATAAACGTGCTGAAAACTGCTTAAAAGTATTAACCTGAAATACACAGAGGGTCCAACACCAGTTTTAAAAATACATTAACGAGGTATTCCCAGCTCTTCAATTAATAATGGTGACTGATTCATGATTTTCAAACATTCATCCAAGGGAAAAAAAATTAATTTGTCTAAAGAAGAAAAGGCTAATAATAATAGCAGCAGAACCTATCCAGGGATTGTTGCCCAGGTTAACAATGAGAGAGACAACAGACAGCGCTAGGACTCCTCACCTCACTGCACCACGCACTGCATCGAGCCAGCATGAGGTATGTTGGGGATTCATTGGACCAATCCCCTTGCACGGGAGATGGCCGCTCCTGCAGCCTGAAGACACAGGGTGCAGGGCACATCCCTGGTTGGGCACCAGCCCCCATGCAAAGAGTATGGCTTGGAGGAGGACCCCTATCTCTGGGAAATTATAAAAGCACTAACTGACACAGGTAGGAGTGCAACAGTTGGGTTTATGTGCTAAAAAAATGTTTAAAAACGGTCAGAAGACAGCACAGCTCACGCGCTAGTTCTAAGTTCTACGTTGGTCTGTAAACTCCCTGACAAGAGACTAGAGCAGAGGGCTGAACTTGAGATATTGCTAGGTTTCAAAAGGAAAAGTTTTAAAACAGACACCGTGGCTCTGAATAAAGTATTGCTCTTCTTTAAAATGCTCAGTCATCGCTTTCCAAAAGAATGTGTCAGGGTAGTGTATCTGAAAGCTGGAAAGCCGCAGGGGATCACATTGCTTTTAAGATCAGAACAGAGAAATTGCCATTTCAAGCCAGACAACCTGATGGTTCTAGAAGTCAGAGAAGAAATCTTGAGGGCCCAAGTGAATAATAAATGGTGCGACGCTCAGAGGCTGGCAATAGGGACTGTCAATGAAAAAACCACCTACAGTGGAGAAAAGAGCAGAGAAGCAAAACTTTGTGTTAATTTCAGAGAATTTGGTGAAGCCAAGAGCTTCATTTATATTTCTCTGCTCTTTCAGCTGCAAGTGGAATTTTCATTACAAAATGAGGGATGGGAAGGGCAAAAGGGGGAGGGACACTTAATTCATTACAAAATTTCCACAGTCGAACTTGCATGGTTACCACTTCTAACAAAGGACTGACAGCTCAATTATTTTAAGTAAAGCAGAGAAATGTAAAAGTTTGCAGCAACTGGGCAGGTTTACAACATGGTTAGTAACTTCCAACAAACAACAAAATTAAAGGAAAAAAAAAAAAGACTTGGTAGGAACCATTTGAAATGACTGCCATCATGTTGGAAAAGAGCACAGCTCCCTTTCCCATTCTTGGGGGCTGAGTTAGACAGCGACTTCAGAAGAATTTTCTAAAAGAAATCTCCAGCGAGATTCCAAGTTGGAATGCAAATTTGACAATCAATTTCCAATAACAATACAGCTGCTGCTGCCAATTAATAGTATTCAGAAGCAAAGAGGGCTATCGTAAATAGAGCATCAATTAAAAACTGGACACTACCAGCCATGCTTTTTCTTCTCAGTGATGGCTCTGTTTCATCCATAGGTCAGCAAAACAGATCAATGAAACATAGACACTCCCAGCTGCAATGGGCCCTTGTTTATGTCTAGCCACTAATGCACAGGATGAGTATGGTAAGTTCACAGCTATTTCTAGCAAGTGACGCGGTTTTATTAAAGTATCACCCACCACTAATGAAGATAAATGATCCAGGAGCCAAAGTCACAAATAAGCCATTATGGAAGAAATACATTTTGGAGAAGTGACACTGGATTTGTTTTAAATTGCCCATTTCATTCACATTTAGTGGCCCCAACAATCTTTGGAACATAAATTTACACACTGTGTAAAGCCTGTGAATATCAGGCAGTGATGTCCAGCTCCAAATTACTGGAATTTATGAGAGGAGAGGATTGCTATTCCATACTGAAAATGGACAATTTCGAGACACAGTCACTTGTAGCTACAGCCGGGCCCACATTCTGCTGCCTTCATGGGGGTGGGTACCTTAATGAAACCATTACCTTCTAGTAACGTCATACGCTTTCCAAACGAGGTGAGAATGCAAGTGGAAGACTTAAGTCTGCGCCCTTGACAGAACAGCACAATGTTACTGACTGATTCATTTTTCACCGGCTTAATCAGTTATCTTAAAAATAAATGCTGACCCATGGCTGAAACCTGTCACTTTTCACAGCAGCACTCAACAAGAACTGGGACAATTGAAGAGCAAGTTTTTATGGGGACCCTGTTGCTGCTTTAGATTCTGATGTAATTGAAGAGGAAAAAGACCCTTCAATGAATCCAAAAAAAGTCACTAATCTTCTATCTGCATGAAAAAAGCCAGGGAGTGAGCACAGTATCTTACAGAGTGAAGAAGGCCACAAGAACAAGAAAAGGTGATTGATTGATTAATTTATTATTTTTTTAAAACTTGGAAATTCGGAAACTAAAATAATCACATTCCTCCTTCCCCATCTCTGGGTAGTGCCATCATTTTAATAAGCAATGCTCAAATAACAGAGTATACCGTTATCGGGGCTGCCCTTGTACAACAGAACTACAAAGGGCTTACAAAGTAGACTGGCTCAAACTAACAATTGCCTTTGCTTTGTATTTAGCTGTTTGCTTACAAATGAATGGGTTTCTAGGGCTAAATTATTATTGATTTTCAATTCCGTGTAATTTGATACCAAAACATATCAAAAATAATAAGCTAAAACAATATTCAAACCCATATTTTATTGGCTTTAATTACACACTTTAATATTTACAAAGTTTAAATGAAAATTCTATTGTATTAAAAAAAAATAACTACAGCCCAAATTGAATTAAAGTGCCCTGGGGCAAATACATTTCAATCAACTAAGAATCAGTGACTGCATCAGGAACCAGGCAGTACTCTGTGTTACAACAAAGCAGTTTATTTGTGATCAGTGTTTGAGACTATACATCCTTCACAAATTTAATTTTACATAATCTGATACTCTTCTTAAAACTTAAACTTTGAACTGCTAGACTTATTTCCCTAGAACAGAAGGGCTGGTATAAGTTATTTTCCGGAAATGAGGTACCGTTTCACAGAACTAGTTTCTTTTTTTTGTTTGTTTGTTTTCAAGTTTTAGAGAACTAAATTTGCATTTGTTAAAATCAAAAAGTAGGAAAGATGTTCTTTACAAATAATTTTGATCAAGTATGTGTTCAAAGAAAGCAGAATAAAAAGGCTTTTCTCTAACATTCTGTATTGTACTGTATTGTTGTTCAATAGGAATTAGCTTCTGTCATTTGCTAAAAGAATGAGTAGTGGGGAACAGGATATGTTGGGAATTTCATAACGGGTAACAGAACCATTCTCTTGGGTAAACCTACAGAGAAAAGAAACGGAGAGGACTCCAAATAAGTTTAATAATCCAATAAAAATTTCAGGTAAAAAAAATCTCACATTAATTATCATTAACCTTTTCCAGATTAGTCAGTCAACATGTACCATTTTTGTGGAAGAGGCCCACGTATCTCTCGCTCGTTTCTTCCATTTGGAAATTGCTCTTAATATTCTGATAAGATTTTCCACTCGAAATCAAGTTGGCTACATCATAGGAAGAATGATATTTGGAAAGCAACTTCATCTGAGTGAGCTGCCGTAAACTCTAAGGTACAAAACCAATGCTATTGATTCATGGCCTAAGGGAGTCTTGGAATCCATACTGGTTCTCAATTTAGCCTGTCACCTAGTGCAGGAGACACAGCACCCGTCAAGGGTCAGAGCACAGTTTTCTGTGCAGGCTTGGGCTCCCGAGGGAGTCAGCTAAGAGTGGAGGCGTGACCCAGCATTTCTCTTCATTGTGGCTACTGCCAATATTGGCATGGCAAATCTGGAAAGATTAATTGCTTTCTTAATTTTGTAATTAATAAGTTCTTGTGGCCTCACAAACGTCTGCATACTCAAGCATGATTTGAAATCTGCTCTTTCTATTCTGATATTTAACCTATGGAGAAATCACAAAGCAGCAACAGCAGGTATTCAAGAGCACCAGATGATCAGAGGGAAATTACCCCACATGCAACAGCTTTACAAAGGCCAAAAGACATATTTACCTTACAGCCAAAATAAAGCATCGTTTTAGTAGGTTGGCATCACAGTAACATTTAAAAACCAAATCTTTTATGTGAAAAATGGGGGCGTCAAATTTCATCAGCTTTGGAAGTCAGTTATATGGCATGGAAGAGAGGAGCCTTCGGAGCGGGCCACGGAGGCCACAGGGCGAAAGTATAATGTTAGAGGAAAGGGGGGAACAAGAGAAGAGAAATTAAGAAGATTGAGGGGAAACATGAATGCAGCTTATAGGCTAGCTATAAAGTATGGAAGGGGGAAGGGGATTAAGCTCTAGCATATCTGCACTAGGGACTGTGATACTTCCCAAAAATAAACAAACAAATAAACACCCATCCAGGACTTCAGGACCTGCCCTAGGGAGGCAGATGCCATGGCACTCACATAAGATGTATTATGAGTCTAGTGAGACTAAATGTACTGGATAAACTAACCACACCTAACTGACAGGAAGGATGAGGAGATTTAGGTATTCAGATGTTTGCTGAATGGTTAAAAGCAAATGGCCAAATCAAAAGAAGCTACAGTACTTGACTTTAGAAAAAAAAGTTGCGTCAGATTATATTCTTGGATGAGGCCCTTAACTCCTAATCACCCCCCATCTAAGAATACAGAGCATATGGGAGAGCCTCAATCAAACCTGAGGGAAAGGAGGAAAACTCCAGTCTCGGACCACTGCCTACGAGAAAATTCACCTCCAGAGTCTGACTCTTGCAGCTCTCCGCATCTTTGTCGGAGGCAAACCACTTCAATGGAGAAAGCGGTCAAACTACCCACTTTCTACTTATTTCTAAAGTTATGAAATCATGAAAGCCTCAATCAGCAGTGTCGTGAGAACCCTTAATTTTCAAACAAAAAGGGAAAAGCTGATGCATGAAGAGAAGAAAGCATAATGAAAGGTCTTATGTAGAGGTCTAAGGTCGTAAGTAGCACACTCACGGTCTTTTCCTTCTGTGTACACGAGACTGCACACTGCACGCTCACACCCTCACACTCCCCACTGTGCATGCGCGCGCACACACACACAAACACACACTTTGCTCTCTTCTCTCGGAGACAAGCATCCTGCGGATGGTCAGTCCTTAATGTAGCGCCTGAGTTCGGGAGAATGTCCAAGACAGCATATCACTGACTCCAAACCTACTCGCCTCCATTGCCACATAAACCTCATTCAAAAGTTATCCAAAGGGCCACTAGAATTGTTTCTGCATTTTTTGTGGAGGTCAGCATACAGGGGTGATGTTGGGAGGGGGTGGGCAGAGCAGAGTACATGTCCGTGTGATTTGTGGACAGGTGCCACGGCCTTTCCGCAGTAGTCACTCAAGTGACACTGCTGAGGTAGGTACCCCCATCACCTCCTCTCTAAGACTCCTTCACTCCAATTCTAAAGCAAACCTTTTGGGGAAAGGCTGTCACAAATTTGAAGTCATAGCAGTTCCTATTCTTATACCGCACACAGTTGCAAACCAGAAACTTAAATTAAGCTATAAAACTGGCAGACAGCCAAGCCAGAAACTTGGTATGGCCCTTCAGTAGCCTTTGAATGGAGTATAAGTTGGCTGTAAGAAGAACTACTTCAAATATTTAATTTCAATATGGTCAGAAACAGGCAATTAGAACAAGCAGTCCTTCAGTCAGGCAAAGCAGAGAAAGGAGCAACTCCAACCAAACAAGAACCACAAGGTTGTGGCATTTTCAGAGGGAATTTGAGTTGGGTCACTAGAGTGAATGAACAGGTCTGAGATCCTCCAAGTCGTGTCAAGAAACCCTAGGTACAAACTGTGCAGTGGGCGTTGTGACAGAGGGGCTCAAAGGAGAAATCAGAAAGATGGGGTACATACCATAGGCAGGGGCTGCTGTGCTGTAACCATATGGTGTTCCATAGCCTGGTACAAGGAAGAAGAAAGCACATCAGTCTGGACAGAGGCCAGCAGCAGCAGTCCAGTTCTCAAGTGCCACCTGGCCCAGGCCTGCAGCCCTGAAGACAGCTTCCAATGCCGGAGAGATGAGACCCAGTCCCAGAACGCCCTGGCCTGTCAGTCCTGGTGCTGCTTTGTACCACAGCCTGCAAAGCCTCTCCGAGCCCACCAGGACATCCTGGAATGTAACTGGATCCTCACTACCTATGATCCCCACTAGAGTGAGGAAAACCAAGTCTCATGCATCTCCGAACCACCTGTACCTAGCAGCGTAGCTGGCATATACTAACATTCATAAATACAGCTGGCTGAACAAAAGATTGTTAGAACTACTCAAATCACCCAAGTCCCAAAGCTGGAAAACAGTGCATTCTAGAGCCTCTTTCAGGAGAGCAGGGACGGGTCAGGCTACATTAAAAGCACACCTGGCCCCGCTTGCGGCCGAGAGCTAGGTCTACTTCTTGTTGAACTCTGGTCCCAGGACAGGACCACCCAACAAATACTGGTGAAACAGGTAACTAGCATCACGGTCAACAAAACAAGTAAAAAAGCACCAAAGTTTTGCATGGGGTTTTTCTTGGGGGCAGACAGAAGGGAAGGAGTCTCACACCCAACAATGCTCAGGGATCACTCCCGGCAGGACTCGGAGGACCATTTGGGGTGCCAGGGATCGAAGAAAGGTCAGTGCATACAAGAGAAACGCCCCACCAACTGGACTATTTCTCCAGCCCCCCAAGCACAGAAGTTTTTTAACTACTTAATTCTAGCTCTGATTTCTTACACATCCTTAGAAATGTAATTTCTGATTTCCCATTTTCTCATCTATAAAACAGGAAACAACCAAGCTACTTTACAGTATTGTTAGAGATTAGAAATTCTGTGCTAAGAGAAGTCATACTTTAAATTCTCAAAATTTACTCCTGGGGCTGGAGCACACAATAGTGGGTAGGGCAACTGCCTTGCATGCAGCAGACTGCGGTTCAGCCCCAGGTATCCCATACGGTCCCCCAAGCACTACCGGAAGTAATCCCTGAGCACTGCCCACTATGGCCCACAGACAAACAGAATCTACTCTTAACACAACTTAAAATTATGAAAAATTTAAGTGATACATAAGCGTCCCTGTATGTGGGGCCCTGGTCCCCAGCAGTCAGGCCCCGGCACCATTTTTTTTTACTGAGAATGGCACCCTGACCGTCCCCCCCCCATCCCCACAGACACAAACATTGTGTAAATCTCTAGGAAAGTCAACTGATAGAATCAAGTTTTAAAACGAGAACAAGAGTATAATACCATACATGTGCTCTTCCTACAGCACCCAAGACAAACATTTTGACATTACAGGGCGAGAGCAATAGTTTAGCAGGTAGGGTGTGTGCCTTGTACATGGATGACCCAGGTTCAATTGCCAGCATCCCTTATGGTCCCCCAAGAACCCACAGGAGGGATTTCTGAGCGCAAAGCAAGGAATAAGCCCCGAGCATCGCTGGGTATGGCCCAAACACACGAATATGCACACAAAACCTTCTGACATTTCGTCCCACTATCCTAACCCCATTTCTGCTGTGTGGCCTGATTCCCCCCCTTCTCTTGCTGTAATGCATCCTTTAGAGCAGGGTCAGTTCCCGTCTCCTCTGTGAAGAAGAATATCGGGCTTGTTGCTTGTGCCTTTGCCAACAGTGCGACACAGACCACCAGCACCCCTTCATGGGAGCACCTCCTCCAGTGTCTGTCCTTATCCTATCCGTCCCCAAGCTGCCACTGGGGCAGACACCTAGATCTTAATCATGTCTGAACGCCTGGTTCAGTCTCAAATCTCTCTTTGGAGACAAAATGTATGCTGAATAAGAAAGTGCTTTATTAACTGAAACATTTCTTAAATTCTGTTTTACTTTTCATAACCTGTACTAAAATTGTATGAAGTTGAGGATGGTACATGAAATCACTTCAGTGTTCATGTAATCATTTCTTGCAAAAGGACACAATATAGTTAAAATAGCTATTAAAAAAAGAGAGAGAGATGGCATCAGAGGCCAAAAGAAAAATTAATGCTTAAAAAAGGTTGCAGGGGCTGGAATGATAGTACAGCAGGCAGGGCATTTGCCTTGCACACGGCAGACACAGGTTTGAGTCCCAGCATCCCATATGGTCCCCTGAGCACCACCAGGAGTGGTTCCTGAGTGCAGAGCCAGGAGTAATCCCCGTGCATCTCCAGGTGTGAAACAAAAAGAAAAGAAAAAATAAATAAAAAAGGTCACACAAATCTATTCCAGACAAAGGCAGGTAGGAAGGCTGCAGTTTCCAGAGCTTTCCCAGTCCTTCCTGAAAGATAAAACTACAACTATTAAGTGGCTACTAGTAAGGCTAGCAGGGGTTCTAGACCCTGGCTCACCTGTCACTAATAAGGCAACCTTCAATGACACCTGTTCTTTAACCTCTATGAGTCTTCCAGACTTCTCTACAGCCAGGTTTGGGGCTGAAGAGACGGCACTGTGGGTAAGGCACCTGCCTTGCATGCAATGGACCTGCGTTCAATCCCCAACAGTGCATATGGACCCACGTTCCACCAGGAGCTCAAAGCTAGGAGTAAGCCCTTGAGTAAGCCCAGGAGTAAGCCCTGAGCTCAAAGCCAGGAATATGCCCAGCACCCCCCCCACCAATAAAAAAGAAAAAAGGAAACACAATCTAAACTTCTTAGGCATGTCACATAAAAAATGATGACTAGGGGGTAAGACAAAATTCGTGTAACAATTCAGTCTTGGTCAACAAGCAGTTCACTCATCAAATTAAAAGCTCCAGGCCTTCAGTCCTACACAGAACCTCCGCACGAACTGCAAGGCAATACAGGCTAAAATGGAAGGAAACGAGAAGCCAAACCCTGCACGTGCTGGAGTGGAAAGAATCCAGACTCTGAGACCACAACTACGTCCTCCCCATCTCCTCTTGACTAGACCTTTCTCATACAGGGCTACACTTGCCTTCATCTTCTGGCCCTCGGTTTCTTCCCCTGGGAAATGAAAACAATGTCTGGAGAAACACAGTGAAAAATGAACACAAGTGAAATGATCCAGATGACAGTAAATATGAATACTAAAGTTCTTTCCTTTTGTACTTCTTTACCTTAACAATTCCCAAAGTTAAAGAAATACTTATAATGCCAGGTTTTGCCCCAAATTCAGGAGGATCTTGTCAACCACTGTTTTCTCTTTCACTCAATCTGTTGCCTATGATCCCAACTGAATAGACAACATTCAGATGTCAAGACTCCTCATTCTCTGAAATCTCATGGAGCGGTCTTACTGTGAAAACAAACGCAATATTCCTCCACTGTAGGATAACATTGGTTTTCCTTTTTCCCTTGCTACGGAGAGCTTAGGTTTTTCGGGTGATACCCATCACAGTGCTCCTGAAGCACCGCACCTCAATTTCTCTGTTTATTGGAATGTAGCTCCAAACATTTTTAGGATAACATTGGCATGTCCAGTTTCCCTTGCCACAAGGAACTCAGGTTTATTACAGTGCTCCTGAGTCACTCCCATTCCATTGTGTTTATCTGTACACTCTTCCCTATGCTCTCCTTCCCAATCAGTTCATCAGCTTTCCCCCCTAACCTTACAGCCAGTTAACTTGTAAGGTCAGATTCCTCAGAGATCTATGACTTTATATGTATGGGTGAAATATTGCCTTGCTCCTCTCCTTATGTCTTTTGAATAGTTTACTTTAAAGTAATGTCCTTTTTGTATAGACACAGGAAGACAGTTAATATTATGCTTTTGTAACTTGGGATTCAATTGGCTCAAATATTATTCACTCCCAGGCATCTGCTTCTCGACTTAAGCCTCAGTTGCCCTTAGTTCCTAGCACCCCAAAAGCAGGGTCCCAACGAGGGACTGAATGGACCCAGGGCAAGCTGTGTGCTACCCTGGCATCGATATGGGCCAGGCCAAAGAGCCACGATTCTTAACTATAAGTTAAGAGCTTGATTATGGACAAATGCTTTCATGATCCAAAAGTGACGATGAGATTAGCACCCTGCTAGGGATAGGAAAGACTAATCTGGCCTGAGCACTGTAGTCTGAGATCAAGATGACCCCAGGAGAGCGATTCTCTAACCTTAATGTATCTCTTACTGTGTCCATACAAAATGATTAATATTATGAATGTTTATATGTTTGTTGGACTAAGGAGGGGAGAAACACACCCATATTTGCCTTTAGGCCAGTCATCTTGCTGGATAAGAATCTGTCCTGGAAGTAGCTTCCCCTAAGAGAAGGTCCTTCCATCCACTGATTATGTGATGATATCTATACGTAACTGCTACCCCAACCCCTCACGCTGCCCCCGGCATTTAACTAGACCGTAAGAGTGGGCTGGGGGATCCAGATTCCACAGCCAGAAGGGGAATGAAGAGGGATCAAGGAGGAGAATGAAGTAGCATGGGAGAGGAAGAAGCAGGAGGAGAAATCAGAGGAAAATGGAAATGAGAGTGGAATAAACTGCAACTGACACCAACCATGTTGGCCCTCATTCCTTCCTTTGTCTGCCCAATGCCAATGACCTTCCCAGGGTAGGGGAAGTGGCTGGAGACTACTGAACACAAGCAGCGGGAGATAGAGCCACTGTCCCCTTTTGTGTTTACACACTCCACCAACACCTCCCTCTAGGAAGCCTCTATTCACCTAGCCCATCTGAATTTCTCTGCACAGACACCTTCTCTGTTCCGACCACGCATAACCCTGGGAAACAAAGGAGAGGCTGTTCTTCGAGCCTTAGAGCAGGACGGGAAGTAGAACTCGGAGGGGTGGTACGGTACCTGGAGCAATATAGCCAGGCGCGGCCGTGGCCCCGACGAAAGCACCCCGCGTCAGCGCTCCTCTCCCTCTGCCCCGCACAGCCTGGGCTGCCGCCGACACGGCTGTATTCACCACACCTTTGGCCTGTTCAAGAAAATCATTTTCGTTACTGACAGAACACCTTATTCTCTATCCCTATAGATGTGCAATGAGAAACTTGAGACTCTAGACGAGGCAAGGAGATGTTAGCATCACCTCGAGAGGGAAAATAATGCCCACCTCGGCAGCGGCTCTGGAGCAGGGCTTCGGAAATTTACTCCACCTGGGGCCCCTTTGCACCTGAGAAATGTTTTACATGACCCCAGGTATACAGGTATAGAAATCAAATATTTGATAAGGATAGTCATAAAACACTGTTTAAAACAATTTTGTCTCACAACCCCCACATTCAGTAACTCTGAGGACACGACCCACAGTTTTAAAAGCTTTGCTCTAGAAAATACGGTGAGTACACAAAAGTATGCAAATAATTTCTTCTCCTTTGAGGGTGACTCAAAAACAGCTCCCTTTCTACACACAAATTTCAGTAGTCAAATTATATTCAAAGTCATTTTAAATCTGACTGCCGTAATCACAGGCATTTGAAACCTAGGTCAAATCCACTGAATAATTTCCCGGCCTACAGATTAAAAAGTATCGCAACAACCCACCATCTAGATTTAACCATGCACTTGAATGGGGTTTAGAATAAAAAGGATTAAGACTAGATGAAAGATGTGGAGACCAGTTCTGTGTCTGCATAATAATCATTAAATAAAAATTTAAAACTTCAGGTTTATTCTTGCTTTAAAATGCCATAAAACTTCGGTGAAAAGGCATTATTATTTTTCTCTAGAAGTATCCTCACAAATTTTAAAATGAGGATAATATACCTACTTTTTTCTGCTTCAGAGGAAAAAGCTATTGTGCAAATTGATATAAAATAGATACACCTATGAGTGACCGTAAACACAGCTGGCAAAACATCTCTTTCTCAAATGGAAATTGTAAGAAAATCACAGAATTATCTGCCTTTAAATATTATGCTTGTTTTTAAACACAAGAGGTATAACAATTAAAAATTGGATGCCACTAAAATTTCCTATTCTAGTCAAGGTGCAAGGACAGAGGTGCAGAAGCTCACAGCTCACAGCCTGACAGAGCCAGCAGTGCCTAAAGCAAATCCAATAACCCAGGGACTGGATTCATCTACCTCACTTTGAAAATTTGTCTTTTTATTCCTTTCTTCCTCTTATGGCAGATGTTGTAACTAGTATGCCTGGGTAGAATACAGCTGGAAGGTCAAAATGTAACATGCAGAGCTAGACACAGCCATTTTCTTATGGATCCAAAAATAACCCAACCCACACATCAAAAACAGGCTGTCTCCTGGCTGCCAGGAGCATTGGAAACCTGGGCCTCACAGCCCTGGTATGGAAGATTCCTAACAGCGAGGGAACTTCAGAGGCCTACAGTGCTCCAGAAGTGGCAATCTGCCGCAGCCGTGACCACACAGGTCAAGCTCATGTCAGGTGAACCCACTCTTCCAATACGTGTCTGGACATAGGATTTTTAGCCCCAAATACAAAATATGACCAGTGAGGAAAAACATGTACCAAACTAGGTACTGATGTTCTTTGTCTTGCCTTTGTTTTGGGGCCACAAACAGGCGGTGCCCAGGGGTTTACCCCTGGGGGAGGACCCGCCATGTGCAAGTCAAGTGCCCTGGCCATTGTATTATCACTCCAGTTCTGCAACAATGCTCTTTTAACTAATTTAACAAGATACTGAAGATTTTTAAAATAGGTTATCTACTTATTTTCTCTTTCTACAAGTGTAGATATTTAAATTTAAATTTGTGTTAAGTGTTCCACTTAAATACTTTTTAAAAAGTTCAGTAAAAATTTTAAATCCTAGAATAAGCAGAATTACTTCTTATATTACAGTAAATATAAGTTGATTAGAGGAACATGAAAGTTTAACATGACTATCGCATACAATGATGCCTACGGTCTACTGAAATAGAAAAACCCACTTCAAAGGGACTGCCACCAGCAATGAAAGGTGTCACTGTACACATCTCAAGGTCTTCTGAACCTTATTTTCTCATTTATAAAGTAAGATTAATTTTTGTGCCCCAAAATGGACTTAGCATATGTAAAAATAAAACACACCGTTTAAAACAAAATCTTAAATAATCTAAGCTTCTTTCTGTAATCTGGGGAAGAGAAGAGCAAAGAGGGTGCTTGTCTTGCATTCACTGACCTGGCGTCTTCTCCAGCACTGCATATAGTCCCCGAGCAGTACCAGGAGTGACTCCCTGAGCACAGAGCCGGGAGCAGGCCTTGAGCACTGCCAGATGGTGGCCAAAAAAAAAAAAAAACCCACATAATATAAAATCTTTAATTGATTTGCTTCTATCATATATGTTCGGGCTGAGCGATAGCACAGCGGTAGGGCATTCGCCTTATAAGCGGCCAACATGGCCGACCCGAGTTCGATTCCTCCGCCCCTCTCGGAGAGCCCGGCAAGCTACCGAGAGTACTCGATATGCCAAACACAGTAACAAAGTCTCCAATGGAGACGTTACTGGGCCCGCTCGAGCAAATCGACGATCAACGGGAGGGCCTTTACCTTTACCTTTACCTTTATTACACCAGTACTCCATGAGGAAGAAAGTCTGTCATACTTATCTGGCTCTTTTTCCCTCTGAGTGATACACAAGATCTATGTCTGACCATAAAACTATCATAAAAGATATTCTTTTATTTATCAATCAATGCATAGGAGAACGCTTATCCAAAGAAACAGAATAAGGAGGCCATCTTTTCAAAGTCTCTCACAGCACTGGCATCTCCTGTGTCAGTGATGACAAAAGCCTGGTTTCCCTGAACTAATGTTAGCATCTCAGCCAAGGCCAAATTCCTTAGACTCCACCTCATCTAGAGACACCTAAAACTCCTCAAGTAGGTCAATAATATCTTCTGAACATATAATTTTATAGAAAAGTCACAAAACAGGGAACCGCCGACCACAATCATAATAACCATGACATAGAGAAATGATCACCAATGAGAGAGAGACAGAGAGAGAGAGAGAGAAAGAGAGCGCCTCAGAAAAAACTACAAGGGATAGATAGTACAGGCCACAGGATGCAACCTACCAGGGGCACAAGCCAGGAGAAACTCTTGAGCACTGCTGGGTGTGGCCCAAAAAGGAAAAAAAAGATAGGGGGGTGAGGAGAAGGAGAGCTGGGGGGAGGGAGGGAGGGAAGAAGGGAGAGAAACAATACAGAAGCACAAAGAAAAAAAGAGGAAATTTGAATTTGGCAACATTTTTCCAAATGTGGAAGGGGGGAGTTGCCAGCTCGTCCTTCACGCCCTACCAAGGTCAGGAGTTGCCCCCCCACGAGCGGCTCTCCAGCACGGCCATGGCTCCAGAAGCACAAGGACTTAATGCAGAGCCCGGCAGCTTGCAGCAGAAAAGTGAATGGACTATGCGTCAATCCACGCCACCATGCCTCCCCAGAGGGGAAAGGGTCTTGGTCCCTTCCGCCTTCTTCCCTCTGGAAAGAAAAATGGCAGCCGCTTTGGAGCTTTATGGAAAGCCAGGTATGAGCCGGTCGTGATGGGATGACTGAAACCTCATGGGAAGGGGGACGTCCCCAGCTCGTCCTTCACGCCCTACCGAGGTCAGGAGTTGCCCCCCACCAGCGGCTCTCCGGCACGGCCATGGCTCCAGAACACAGAAAACAATCTCATAATTATCTGACTCTCAGCAGAAATATTTCCAGGCTTAATAAGTAAAATATCAGAAATCCAAAATCGCGTGGCCGCAATAGCATCATTTGATTCTTGTGACCAGCTGTAGAAAACAAATTATTTCACAATGCCTTTTCAGCATGTCTGATTTGTGAGTGTAAACTCTAAATAATAAGGGTACATCTTTTGTCGAAACAATGAATCTAATCAAAGTAGACAGAGTGTTAACTAGAATTCATCTGCCTCACAGGCATTGGGAGGGGTGGGGGGGGTTATTGGGGTTTTTCGTGGTGAAAAATAAGTATTGGTAAAGGGAAATGAGTTTGATATTTGCATGACTGAGACTTAAACCTGAAAGCTTTGTAACTTTTCCCACAGTGATTCAATAAATAAGTTTAAAAAAAAGAAAAAAATACATTTTTCCAAATTTATTACAAAGTGTAAGGCTTAAACTCATACCTGAGGGATAATCTTCTTTTTCTTATTATTTGCTGCATTGGGTCCAGAAAACAGCTTCTCCAGAGCAGCTAAAGCTGCACTTGCCTTTGCCACTTTCTTATTTGGACCTGCACCTCTAAATTTCTGTCCGTCTACTTCTACCTGCAATGAAGAACAACACTCTAGAGTCATTTCTCACAATGCTTCTGTGTATTTTCACTTACATGCATCACGGAAAATAGCAAAAGTCAAAAAATGCCAACATATATAAAGAAACTTGCTCTGAAACTTTTACTGGTCGCAATCTCAGGATGAGATTCCACCTGAGAGGAAAACAAGGTTTGACTATGTCTGTGTGTGTGTGTGTGTGTGCGCGCGCGCGCACATGCACGTACCTCCATCACAAAGCGCTTGTCATGGCTCCCACCCGTCTCTGAGATGAGTTCATATTTAAGACCTCTTCTTTTCTCATTAAGTTCCATTACAGGGTTTTTGCCACTTGCTGTGAGGATAGGACCCTGAGTTCTTACCTAAAAACAGGTTCAATTAAGTCAAGGTCAGCGTATTTAACTTCTGATCACTACAACTGCACTATGGCTCTGACCGCTGAAACTAGACAGGGGTGAGGACCACAGTGATGGGCAGCTCCCCACACAGGTGTGCATGAGGCCCCGGATTTGATCTTAGACACCCTGTTGCCCCCCTGCACATCCAGACCTGGCCCCCTGCACCCCCATTCCCTCGTCCCCTACTAATTCCTTTGAACTAAAAATCTAAGCCTCATAATTAAGTCCACTTTCTCCCCACTTTGTATAACACTAATCGCAAAAGATCTTGTCCAGCCTCTAACTTGTAACTGACTGATCCTCTCAACAATCAGCTGTTAAGTCTTTTATCCTCCCCACTATCACATGACCAGTCAGTCACTACTTTCTGGACCTCTATACCATCTATTCCCTCTCTACTGGCCCACCTGGCACTTCTCAGTCAATCCCTGACTCCAGATCAGTAATGCTTCCTTCCACCTGTCTCACATGGCAGAACCCACTCAGCCCAAGCCTAGTTCACACTTGTCTTCCTTGATACTACACAAGAAGCTTCATGATCACTTCCCCACCCTCGAGATTTTATACTCCAATTTCATACTGCACCCACTGATGTTTTTCACATTACAGTTACCCAGAACATGCTCTATAGTTTGTCTTTCTAGATAGATAGATCCTGAGGCTTCAGAGAGATACTATCCAATAGATAAGTATTAAAACGGAGTAAATGAATAGAAAAAAAAAGTTTACTTAATAACCACCCATTTTTATAAATTGCACAAATTTAAATACGTATGCAAGGTTAGCTATTACTTTAAAACCATTGTCCTTTTACAAAAAGTAACAAACAAGAGCCCCATCAGTTCCCAAATATCTAGTATAGACTCAGTACTTGATTTTCATCTCATTTGATGATCTGTGGCAATAAGCTCATAGGCCAGAATTTACAGAACAACTTTAAAATAACATTGTCAGGCTCTGAGTTCCTCAGAGCTAGACCAACTCAACAATCATCCATTGCCTACTACAGCTTAACAAAACCTGAAATAATCCTAAATTTTCTATACTAGATTTTTTTGGTTTTCATTTTTGACTGTCGCAGCCAAGACGGCCAATCCGAGTTCGATTCCTCCACCCCTCTTGGAGAGGCCAGCAAGCTACCCAAGACAAATTCGATATGCCAAACACAGTAATAAGTCTCACAATGTTACTGGGCCCGCTTGAGCAAATCGATGAACAACGGGAGGGCAGTGACAATGACAGCTGATATTAATACATAAAAAACTGTAAGTAATTTTCATGGGGGGAAAAAAAGGAATGCTAGTTAAATTAGGACACATTCGTGTGCTGTGTTGTATACAATTAGATTTACAGATATTTTTCTACAGTGAACATGCAATTTTTATTCTTTCAAAGGAAAAAGATACACTTAGCATACCTCTAAGGTACTGGAGGTTTCAGTTGTAGAATTTCCAGTATTATTGCTTGAATTTGAAGACACTGTTTCATTTTTGCCTTCATTATCTGATTTTTCATCAGAACTCATACATTCAATATCTGCATCAAAGCCCGTTGGATATCCCATGGCCTGCAATACCTGCACAAATGACATTAAGACAAAGTTTATTCAGACACCAAAGATTTTTTTAAAAAGACAACAGAAGAAACACTGAGAACAAGTTTTAATTTCACATGTGAATCCAGGAACAATCACTTTGCATGAAGACTAAGATGGTATTAAATCTACAAATCCATGATTACACAGGTTTTACCTACAGGGTAAAAGGACCATGGTAAAATCAACACAAAAAATGAAAACAACCTTCCCAGAGTAATTAGGTTTAATTAAAATATGAGGGAAATCTAATCCGAGAATGTTTCTGGTTTATACAACTTGAAAATGGAAGACAAAAGAGCAAAGCACCTTCCGACAGGCAAGCGGAGCATGAAAGGGCGCACTGAAAGTACTCCGGACCAGGAAGGGGAAGCCTAAGGGAGGACCTAATGCTACATCTCTCCTCCCATTCTCAACTTTCAAATCTGCAAAACAAAAAGGCTGACTCGGTTCTCTCTGAATTCTCAACCCATTAGGAGAGAGGGAAAACCAAGAACTGTTTTATAAACCTTCAAACCAGCATATCTTTCAATTGCAAAACAATGTGGTTCTACTGATTTCTTTGTCTTCATCTGAAACCATAATAAAAACTTGAAAGCATAGTGCTTGCTCTTGAATTTCTATTCCTGTTTCCTAATTATGCGATGGTTACCTCCAATGTTCACCCTTCTTGTGTTTCCATTCAATCTGTGGCATTTCTTATCTTTGTTCTGTTTTCTGTTTTGGGTCACATCAAGCCGTGCTCCTCCTAGCTCTGTACTCAAAGATCACGCCTGGCTGGGCTCAGGAACCATACAGGACACGCAAACCGAACCTTAGCCAGCCTTGTGCAAGGCAAGTGCCCTACCCTCTGTGCTCCATTTCAAGATCTAGAAGCGAGAGACAGGTGGTGGAAGGCGGAGGGGACTGGGGGGTGATGGTGGAGCGACCTGCAAACACTGCTGAGTGATGGGTGAGGCGGACTGTGGCTGTGAAACAGTGGCTTCTATAGGATTGTAAGCTGAAAGACCACATTGTAAAGAAAAGAAACAAAAGCTTTCAGGACAGCGGAATTGCTTTTCGACACAAGCACACACTTGCAAACACACTCAGTTATCTCGTTCAAGATTTTACTGCTTTGTAAATGTTCACCAAAAAAAAGAGTATGTTCACTCGCTCTATTATAAACTTCTTTCAAACAGAATGACACTGCAGTTCTTGGTTACTGATTTCAAGTTTTATATCAGAGATACAGAGATAGATAGGCTCCAAAAAATTCCTGTATCTGTTTCAGCTATCACTAATATCTAAAGCTGTGGAATATAAGGTCATACCTTAGATTCTTACAACCCCTTCTGGTGTTTACACAGCTTGTGCTCTTAACATTAATTATTTAAAAAGAGGAGGCATAGTAAATCCATCCCATAACCACTTCAACCCACGTCCTTTGCCTGGTTTGTATTATTAATGGTGTACATGGAGACAAGATTGAAAAACAAATACCTAGGGTCAGAGAAACAGTCGAAGGCTAAGGCACTTAACTTGCAATGCAACCAATCCCAGTTCAATCCCTGGCACCACATATGGTCCCCTGAACCAGGAGTGATCCCAGGAGTGATCCCTGAGCTCAGAGCCAGGAATAAGTTGTGAGCACCACCCAGTGTGGTCCAATCCTTACATATCCACCATATTCCACAAAAAAAGCCAGGAGTCACAATGTGGGTTTATTCCATTAAAACTTAAGTATACTGCAGCTATTCCCAATAGTTTAAGTGGCCTGAGTTCTTTTCTCTGCCCATTCTTCACTTATCAAATTCATTTATTCGTGCTTTATCTTGAGTCACTTTCCTATAAACATAAACTTATTCTAAGAATAACCAGTATACACTACAGAAGTGAAAGTAAAAGTAAGGCGTTCTCCACTACTTGAACCAAATATCTGGAAGCAATGTTAAGGCCAAAACAAGCTACATATCACAGAAAACAGAGTCTCGAAGTGTCTTGGAAGCCAATCAACCTAATAAACAAGGCTACTGAAGTGAAAATTGACAAGATGTTTCCTGGAAACAAGGTGGCCTGAAAATCCAGCATAACCTTTTATCTTCTAGGAAGGCAGATGAGGCTGGGAAAGATGCAGAAGCAAACAGGTAAGAGCACGCTGCCCCGCCCTGCACAAAGCCAAGCCTCACATCCGGGAGTCCGACTCGACAAGTGCATACTGACAAGGCCTCCTTCACAAGAACTGGCTGACTGTGTACAGGAAGATGCCTTTTGTCCAGGACGCCCAGGAAAAAGGGCTGGAAGGAGAAAGGGAGGAGGGCCCCCTAATCTGTTTCTCCAGGGTACCTGCAGCTGGGAAGCCAAGCTCCAGGAACAGGAACTTGTTTTAATCTTGCTTTGCTCGGATTTGATTGTTTAGTCTGATCTGCATTCATAGCACTGCCCCCACCTGCTTACCAGGCTACTGAGACTGTTATGTTCACTGGACCTACTCACATAAACACACGTGACAGAGAACACTCAGGCTGGGGTGAGAGCATCCTGCTCATGCTTGTGGTGAGGCCCGAGGTCCATCCCCAGGATTCCCAACCTGAAGCGACACACACAAAACTACTCCCTCAAACTCATGAATGAGTAAAACCTGCAACGTGACCTTTATGGAGAAATTCTTCCCATCATATTTAGTAGATCATTTATGCATTTTTTGTTTGCTTGCTTGTACTAATGGGGCTTAAATCCAGAGCCTCTGTTCTATCCGTGAGCTACAGCCCCAGCCAAACATGTTTTCTCTTAACCTTATTAATTCCAGTTCAGAATACACCTAAAGGGTTAATCAGTCAAGTTCAGTAAAACATGAAACAATTAGAAGAATCTGAATCTAAAATAATTAAATACATGATGGTAAGTTAAGAATCGTAAAATAATAATTAGCCCATTCCTAAAAATAAATATTTGTGTAAACACTAAAAAATTTCCTATTGTAAATAGGAATGTTATTTTAGGTATATATTTTGTACACAGACTGCACTGGTCCCATCACATCTTATGAAATGGTAGCTGGGATGAGTGCTCTGATAGTCTAAAATTTTTCAGAGTTCATAAAGTTAATACAATGTATTTTTCAAATCCTCAGTGCACTCTCAGGTGCTATTTCATGATAGTGAAAAGAAATAAAATATTCACACTAACCGGAATAACAAAAACTAAAAATAGTTCCACATCAATTTGGGTTTTTCCCATCAAGTGAGTCTGCAGCACTCAGGGAAATATTTATTTGCAGTGCTTTCTAGATTTTTAGAATTGCTGGTTAAAAGGGGCTGGGGGCCTTGAAAACATACCAAATGTTAATAGTTATTAGAAGAACAAATGGCATCTAAGTGTTATATTACAAAATTTGCCAACTTACTAACTCCCCCAAATATTACTGAATCACAAACTTGCTATGAGGCCACTAGCTTATGTTAAATGTTATAATAAGAACAACCCACTGTATCGGAGGGCTTTTGAATATCTCATGCTAACCCTTTCTATGAAGACCATGTGATCTTTGTACCAAAATAACTGTGATGCTGATAACCAACTGTGTGTTCTTTGATCATGAAGAGTGAATCGACATTCCACAAGCCTTTTCCGTCAGTTGCTAGAAACTTTCCACACAATGTAGCACTGTCCTCCCGTTGTTCATCGAATTGCTCGAGTGGGCCCAGTAACGTCTTCATTCTAAGACTTGTTTTTCCATTGTGAGACTTGTTACTGTGTTTGGCATATCGAATATGCCACGGGGAGCTTGCCAGGCTTTGCCATGCGGGCGAGATACTCTCGGTAGCTTGCTGCCAGGCTCTCCGAGAGGGGCTGAGAAATCAAACTCAGGTCGGCAGGGTCGGCTGCGTGCAAGGCAAATACCCCCTGTGCTATCGCTCCAGCCCTTTCCACACAACAACTGGGGTTATTCGTGGCTCTGTGCTTGATGGTGATTCCTTAAAAGTGCCTGAGGAATCAAGTGGTATAGGGGATTGAACTAAGTTTTCTGCGCGCAAAGGATATGCTGCGGGGCTGGAGCAATATCACAGCGGGTAGGGCAGTTGCCTTGCACGCAGCTGACCCAGGGTTCGATTCCCAACATCCCACACGGTCCCCCAAGCACCACCAGGAGTAATTCCTGAGTATATAAGCCAGGAATAGCCCCTGTGCATCGCCAGGTGTGACCCAAAAAGGAACAACATATTTATAGGTATAGAGATAAAGGTAAAGGTAAAGGTAAAGGTAGAGGCCCTCCCGTTGATCATCGATTTGCTCGAGCGGGCCCAGTAACGTCTCCATTGGAGACTTTGTTGTTACTGTGTTTGGCATATCGAATACGTCACGGGTGGCTTGCCAGGTTCTGCCGTGCGGGCGAGATACTCTCGGTAGCTTGCCCGGCTCTCCGAGAGGGGCGGAGGAATCGAACTCGGGTCGGCCATGTTGGCTGCGTGCAAGGCGAACGCCCTACCGCTGTGCTATAGCTCCAGATACAGATATAGATATGCTGCAATGAACTATTTCTCTGGCCCAGGTACAAAGAACTTTCATTTCAATTAGTGACTCATTTTCAAACACATGAAAGCTAAGTTATTGAACTGTACTTTAGCTTTATTCCTGGACTCTTCATTTTCCATCATTTCTCATTTTAATCATTTCTCATTGAAGCCAAACCCAGCGTGGTTGAGACCCTGGGGCCACTGCCAGCAGAGCTTGGCCCAACTTGTTCTGGAGATGGGGGCGCCAAGGATAGTCACATCTAGTGGTGCTGGACCCAACCAGCAGGCCCGCATCAGCAACACTCAGGCATCACCAGAAACAACCCAGCAGTGCTCGGGGGTCATGGAGTACTGGAGACAGGACTCAGGACTTTGGACACACTAAGCATGTGTCCTTTACTTCATCTCCTCAGTCCCTTTTTGCTGCATAATAAACCCAGACTCCTTCATCATACCTAAGGGTACGAGGCAGGGTATAAGCAATATACTGATTGACATTTGCACTCCTCTCAACTCTACGATGCTCCAGCAGAGCAAGGGCTTCGTCCTCCTCACTGCTACATCCAAACACCCCAGGATAATGTTTGCACCTAAATTAAAATAGCCGCAAAATGAAATGATTATGAAAAAAGACCAAGTATCAATCAGTCTACATGATATCTGATTATTTTTGTATTAGTCTGCAAGACTTCAAATAAGCTACTAAGAGTATTTATGTATTTAAGATTTTTACAAACCAATATGCAAGATTACTTCAATCATGCACCTCCCTATAAAAATAGTAAAATATAGAAAAGGTACCACATAAAAAAGTACCGGTAAGGTAAGGTAAGGTAAAGGCCCTCCCGTTGATCGTCGATTTGCTCGAGCGGGCCCAGTAACGTCTCCATTGGAGACTTTGTTGTTACTGTGTCTGGCATATCGAATACTCTCGGTAGCTTGCCAGGCTCTCCGAGAGGGGCGGAGGAATCGAACTCGGGTCGGCCATGTTGGCCGCTTGTAAGGCAAACGCCCTACCCGCTGTGCTATCGCTCCAGCCTTAAAATTTATTTATGATAAGAATCTACAAAAAGCAAAAATTCCAGTAACAGAAAATTTTAAATAATGTATCTAAATGACATCTAAATCATTAAATTACTGATAGTATAGGATTAAGACACTTGCTTTTAAAATGCAGCTGACCCTGGTTTGATCCCTGGCACCTCAACGTTCCCCAAGCACTGCTGGAAATAAACCCCCAACTTTAGGAAGCTCTGTCAACTGTGGCCCAAACACTCCCACCCCATTCCAAAGAAAATAGTCTCTGATATCAGTGAAATACTACTGGGATTAAGGCACTTGTCTTGCTTGTGGCCAATCCCAGTTCAATCCCCAGCACTGCACACAGTACTCCAAGCACCACCAGGAGTAGCCCCTGATGACTGCTGTGTATGGTCCAAAACCCAGGGGGAAAAAACTGTTAATAAATGGAATAATAATGATGCTAAATTTTAAAAATAAGAGCTTAACATAATTTACTTATTTATATATTGTGAGCTCAACCTAGAGAGAGAGAGAGAGAAAGAAAGAAAGAAAGAAAGAAAGAAAGAAAGAAAGAAAGAATCCAATACTCTATATATGTTAATGACCTGCCTCAGAGCTATCCTATTTATGTATTTTTTTACATTTTTTTCTATTCCAAATTTAGGCCTTTTGGCTTTTTGGTGGTAGTGGGGTGGGTGGTTTGGAAGCCACAAATGGCGATGCTCAGGGGTCACTCCTGGCTCTGTATGCAGGCACCACTCCTGGCAGTGCTCTGGGGACTGAACCTGAGTCAGCAAACACTCTCCCATTATATTCTCTCCAGTCCCATTTCCAAATTGTTCAATATACACAAAAGAATTCTGGGATTCAGAGATAACAAAAGTTACACTGTATTATCTTTTAAGTTATGGGTCAGAGGAGGGAGGGAGGGAGAGAGAGCGCGCGCGCATTAGTTTACTTAATGAACTGGTGTGTGTGATTCGCATTCAAGAAGCTTGGGTTCAATCCCTAGCACCACACATGATCGGATGCACCAAGCCAGGAACAGCCCCTGAGCACCACTGTGTGTACCAGATCTCCAACCACCACGCCCCACCCAACATCAAAAGTTAGATGTTAATATACTTACAGAGATATAAGCATCTATTAGAAATGACATTTTAAAAGCACAAAAAGCAAAATAAATACCGTACCTTCACTGCTACATGAAGTTTTGCTGTTTTCTTGGATGGTCCTGAGGCTTCATATGTTGTACCATCCACATCCACAGACATAGTGAAGACTGGGGCATGGACAGGGCCGGACTGGGATAAGAGTTTATACTGAAGCCCAGGTCTGATCTGATTTAGTCGCATTAGTGCATTCATAAGGTCTATTGCTTTACTATCCAGAACTGTGAAAGGAAGATGAAGGAGATACAAAAGCAAGCTGTTATGCTTTAATATATGCGCCTATAGGTTTCAAGTGATCACCGTAAATTCACCAGACTGTTTCAAAACAGGATTTCAAAACATACATAAAAATCCAATGTAAGCCATAATTATAAAATCACTTACAAAATTATTCTAATGTCGCTGTAAAAACAATATGCACTGTTATATTTACATATCCATTGTAATCTGTCGATATTAATGTATCTTAAACAATGAAGCTTAGAAACAAAAAACTATTCAACTTTTAAAGCCAGTTTAGATCTATCTTTTAAAACTGCAATGCAAATCAAATTCTTTGTAATTTTTATTTTCCCACATAACACTTTTAATACGTTCTAGTTTGTGTCTTATTTTAAAATGAAGATTTTACATACTTTTCCTTAAATTTCGTTTCATCTTTTTATTGGGATCTTTATCATCTGCTAATCCATCTTCAAATGGTCTCTTCAGAGCTGAAGACCCAGGACCTAAAAATAATTGCTAAAGATTCACTATCAGTCAAAACAAAAGTCCTATTTACTCTACCAAATGTACAGGAAGGCAAATGAGAGGTCAGGGAGACAGTTCAAAGGGCTGGGTTGGATGCTCTGCATGCCAAGGGACTGAGTGGCCCCAACACCCCAGCAAGCCCTGAGCACCGCAGATGCTGGCCCTGGCCCAAATGAAAGGCACCGGAACACCTTGGAATCATAGAGAATCTCCATAGAACAGTGTAACATTAACTCTTCTTAAAGGAAATTCAATTTCCTAAATTTATTCACATATATACAAATGTTTGTGCATATATTCATGCCTACATGTGCACAAACAGAAGACTGGAAAGATATGGATCCAAAGTACAAGGTACTTTGCACTGCTCTTATTACACATGACTTTTCCCCCAGAGAGTTCACCTGTCTTTTCAAATACTTCTGTAATTTAACGTTTCTGTTATATACTTTTAAGTACATATATGCCAAAATCTGACACATCAGAATTTTTTCTGAGCAGTCAGAGGGTTTTGCCACACCCAAAAGTGCTCTGGAGACTTTCCGATGTCAGAAAGGTCCAAACCAAGTTGGTTGCATGCAATGTGAGATGCTTAGCCCCTTAACCCCCGGCCCCTAAAGCCTTATGCATTAGGAAACTGCTTCACACTACAAAATAGTCTACTCTGTGTCAATTATACTTCTCTTAGAGATTCTGAAGGATGGAGAGATAAGCCAATGGCTTGGAATGTGTAAAAGAGGCCCAGGTTCAAATCCTGGTACCACATGGTCTCCAGAGCACTGTCCAGGTAGCACAGAGCTGGGAATAGTCCTTTCCCTCACCAATTTTTATAGCGTATCTTCTCTATGAAGTTTTCTTTAACTCTTCTCTGACCTCAACTTTCTGAACATTTCTATAATATCAGAAACATTAAGTGCCACAGACTTGTGTCCACCACCTATATAGAAATCATGTGTTTCTTTAGTACACTACGAAGTTCAAAGATACTTTTTCTTCTCTTGTATCCTATAGACTATCTCACACAGACTCACGGGTATGAACAGAATGACTAAATGGGCAATTTCCTGCATAAAGCAGCTAGTTATGGCATGAAGGAAAAGCTTTGGCTGTCCGAATTACAACAGAGAAGATGCCCCACCTACCCACGCTTCAAAGCACTGTCTGCAATATAAAAGCTGGTCGCTGGATTTATGGTAAAAGAAAGTTATGTTCAACAGATTCAGGTCACAAGATTTCCAGATATTTCCATTGAAACCTTGTGATAAAATCCAGATTATAGATCCTCTAATCATCAAGATTTATTGCCCGTGGTAATAACTCACACTGACTAGCAGTTGCTTAAGTCAATCCTTACCACTTTGGTCAACCAGTTTTGATGATCTCAAGAAAAGCTATTATCTATTTATATCTGCTGAGTATTGGATTTCATTTTGCATTACCGAAACTTTGAGAAATCTGGTCTCACTGAATGCAGTGTTTAAAGATAAAACTTAAAAAGAAACAGTATCTATTCAACCACTCTCTTATTCGTTAAGTCCCAGTAAAACTATCTGAAAATCACAAATAAATGCACAGATCTCTTCTCTAGATCCTCCAATTACATAGAGTTCAGTGGTTTAAGCTACATTCTCCCATAACAGACATTTAAAGAGGGTTGTAAAATCTAGAACAAATCCTATCTGCAACCTGAGGAAAATAAATTTTCTTTACAAAAAGCAAATAAGGTTTTTTATTCAGAAGTTTTAAGTCTTATTTAGTTGATGTTATACATACATCACACTAAAATATTTTCGTTAAGTGAAAGGCAACACTCAGAGACAGGAAATTCCTAATTAAATTGGCACAATTAAGAACAAAAAAAATATACGGTCACTGCCAGCTTATTTTCACTTTTTTGCCTTTACTAGGCTAATGAACATAATCTAAAACACAGGTGAATCTTTCACTATTCCAGGGGACAGTGATTTGATGGCAAGATACATGAGTAGAGCCAGAAAACTCTTCTCCCGTAGGTATGAGAAGGCAACCCTCAGCTTTTGGGAAGGTGAACGTGACAAATTAAGTTGCACGAAGTGATCAGAGGTAGCTCCTGGAAGTGCTCCGGGAAACAGACAATGCTGGCTTCCACGCTCAAGGCATGCAGTCCAATCCCGAAACACCCTCCCAGCCCAAGTAGTAAACTTTCTTATACATGGTTCGTTTTTAACAATAATGTTTCCTCAAGCTCTGATAAGACACAAATCCATGACCATCTCCACCACTACCCATGTCCAACCTCAATAAAGTCTTCATACTCACCTTCTTTATCAGTGACTGACCAAGAATATTTCTGAAAAGGCTTACTAGATGGAAGGGGGTCCATCTCCAGCACTTTATAAATCTGGCCAAATGCAGATAGTCTGAGTGCATGCTAAAAAAAAAAAAGTATTTGTCAAACTTTCAATGGCTACTCATAAAGTTCTTATGAATTATACTCAAATGAATCCAATATTTAGCTGAATATCTTTTAGCTAAAACAGAGGCTCATTAAATATGATGGCAAGAGTCGCTGATAATAGGCAAAAGTGCTTAAATAGAACAATTCAGGAAAAAAGTTCAGGGCTGGAGTGATAGCACAGCCTTGCATGCGGCTGGCCCAGGTTCGATTCCCAGCATCCCAAATGGTCCCCTAAGCAGGGCCAGGAGTAATTCCTGAGTGCATGAGCCAGGAGTAACCCCTGTGCATCACCGGGTATGACCCAAAAACCAAAAAAAAGGAAAAAAAAAAGTTCAGACAACCCTCTAAGGGATCACAATGCCAATCTCCTACCTGTGCACTGTGGGTAATATCTTCTTTCTGCTGGACAGTCATGTAGCTCAGCGCATCTGTTGGGTCTCGCTCACAAGGATCATGAAGGCCAGGGCCCCCTTCAGCAAAGGCAAAGAAGAACATAAGTGCCTCTCAGAGCAAAGTTGCATACGTTAATAAATTAACATGTATGTGTGTGTGGTGGGGGGTGGGGAAGTATACTGAGGAACTCCATTAAAACTACATTTAAACTGCTCAATTAAACAGTTGAGGACGAAAAGGACACTCATTTTCACTATGTTAGCACTTCAATGTCCTGAAGTCTATTAAAAGTCACTAAAATAATTAAGACCAAAACTATGTTATACTCTGAGAATTTAGTAACAGCACATGAACCATACCAACTCTTTAAAAGTACATATGGAAATTAAGACCAAATAAAATATTTAGAAATTAAACACCAGACTGCAAACAAAATGAACTTCCTATGTTCATTCAGAATAGACCCAAATGTCTACATTTTCTAATTCAGAGCTCTAGGTAAAGCAAATTCATAGCAGATAGTACCTTATTAGTACCTTTTATGTTAGTACATATAAAACAGATTATTAAAAGTTTATAGCACTTTTTATAACATTCAAACATTCCAGTGTGAAAATTCCAAGCAAACTTTACTCCTATACAACATTTTTTCTGTGCAGAGCACAAATTTAGCATATATTTAGAAAAATACACCAAAATGAATTTTTTTCTGATTCATCTGCCTGCAGAGTTTGAAGCCCTTACCAGGAAGTAGTATTCCAGATGCCAAACACTCCATTACTCGTCTCAAGGCCTCCCCAGCGCCCAAAGGTCTATTACAAGTACCTATAGACTTTTCACATATAAGCTCTAGTGGCTAGAAGATATTAAATTACAAATTAGTTACATGCACCAAGTGTTAAAGGGATTACAGTTAAAAGTAAGCTGACATTTCATGTATAACAAGAGGCAAAAATGTGAAAGTCAACTTAACAAATAGAACCCAATTAAATTTTTCATGTTGATTTATCAATTTTACCTCCAGTCACCATTTTTAAACCGTTTTTAAATAATACATTGAGAAGATATATTGTTAAAAAAATTATTTTTCATTACCCTGAAAGAATACCGTTAAAACTTGTTGTCATTTAATTGATCTAACAACTATTTTACAAGTCTTCATAACTTCAACAATACTACTGTATTCATACCCAAATCTGTCACTTAAACTAGAAAGCAGATAAACCACAACAGGTCTTCGTTTCAAACAGTTCCAAGTACAATTACTAGAATGAAAGATCAAATCTCCACAAACTGGAAACATTCAAAGTAATAATTACTACACTAAAAATGACGCCTTATAACTTTGTTTCACAATATTCTTAAATGCTGGTCTAGATTAGGTCAAATATAATAATATTCAAATTAAGTAGCTTTTGCAACATACATTATAAATATGTCCATAGTTGGGTCATAGGTACTATTCCCCTGACTTTAATTATGAACATGAACTTAAAATAAACTTTAAATATGTATACAAGAGGAAAGAGTAGGCATGAGAGCCTTAGACTTAGACTGGTAGTTCAATAACATTTAAAAAATATGTAAGCCAGATCAAAGAAGTGGTTCATGGGCAGTAGGGCAATATTCAATAATCAGACACCAGTGCCAAATGTAGAGGTTCACTTCTACCAGAATCAGAGTCTTCCTGTCAGAAAAGAAAACTCAGGTTCTGGAACAGAAACACAATGGGACTGAGCAGATAGGTTACAAACATTTTTAAATTCATATAAAAAGATAACTGCTTAGGGACCTGCAAGATAAGACGGCAGGATAGGGACAGGGGGTCAGTTCCTGGGACCCCATATGAGAGTCAGGAGTAAGCCCTGAGCACTGCCACGTGTGGCCCAAAAGCAAAAACCAAAGTTAAAAAAAGATAGTTTTCCCACCAACTATAACAGATACTACACACCACATTTAACTCAGAAATTAACCATGTTTAGTGAAATATGTGATTTCTACAGATTACCTTGAGCACAACTTCAGAGTCTGCTATGACCACAAACACTTACCCATCCTTTCAACGGTGCCCATGTGGGGACTCTGTTGCACAAATCACGCAGAATACGGAGGACAATTACACACGATTTCAATCCATTTGCCCTTGCCTAAAACAAACAAAATGATTCCAATATCCCTACTGAAATCCAGTCTTTAAACATATTGATCATGGATAGATTCTTTCATGTAAATACTAATTAGCATTATCAGGCAAACCAAAAATTCAAGCTACTAAAAGCAATAAAACTGTGACTTAAAAGGCAGTTTTACAAAACATTCAAAACACAGTATTCAAAACTGTTTTCAGAGCCTCAAAACAATCTTAACTCTTAGCTTTTCTCCCCCCACATGTGTAATTTGTAAGCCACCATTTAAAATTCAGAGTACTAAACTCAGAAAGAATTACACGATAATTAACCATCATTAACATCAATAGAGGCTGTGCTAGGCACTTTGCCACAATTAAGTCATTTACTCGAATAACTATACTACGTAAAGAGCATCCCCATTTTATATACGATACAGGAAACTGTGTGAAGTGGCAGGTGTTCCTTGTGCAGGAAGCCTGCACGAGGACATAGCAACAACAAGATAATAACAAAGAGCCAACCTGAAACCATTTGGCATGCCGCAGAGACGCCAAGGCATTCAGGCATTTCTGCCTGTCCAGTAAGTCCGGAGGATCTTTCACCGCAACCTTTTCTAATGGGAAAATGGGACAGAGAAAGACAGATACAAGTTAACAAAGGGATTCCTGTCAAATTATCAACCAATAAAAAATAAAAACATCAGCATCTCAGTGAACTAGTAAGATTCCCAGAAGATTTCTTGTCTTGATGTTGTAGCTTTTAAAAAGAATTAACATGCACTAGTGATTCCTTGAGTAAACAATCTCAGAGTTGTTCTACACACAAGCACAATTAGCATTAAAGAATCTGCTCCTTAACAAATTAAGGAGCACGGATATATACAACCTGGGCTCTTATGCACATGTACATTATCACAAGACACATAAGAGGCACATAGCACTTTTTCCTCTGGCAGGATGCAAAGAGCAGAAATCTGGAACCAACAGCAATACCAGTGTTTCTTATAAAATGGGTTTTAATCACTAATCAGTTCTTAAAGATGACTGGTATCTCTTGTAATTGAATTTGAGATATCTTAAGAATATACTGCATATGATGGCTTTTTTTAAAAAAAAAAATAACCAAGGGCCGGAGTGATAGTACAGGGGTAGGATGTTTGTCTAGCACACAGCGGACCCAGGTTTGAGCCCCGGCATCCCACGTGGTTCCCCGAGCACCACCAGGAGTAACCACTGAGCATCACTGGGTATGACCCCAAAAAGACTCACAAAAAAAAAAACCCCAACCATTAAACTCATCCACCAACATAACTATTAAGAGAATCTATTCTCCACTCTCAAACTCTTTATTATTTTAGCATTTCTTTCTTTTCTAAGCCAAATGATAAAAAGTATGAATAGGAAATATCTTTTTAAGTTTTACATATTCTTTTAAAAGGGGCAGTAAGAAACTATCCAATTACAGCTATTTGAGTTTCCATACTATTTCGGTGGAGAGGGACTGGTGGTGCTCAGGGGTAACTCCTGGCTCTGTGCTCCTGGCAGTCTTCGGGGACCTACGCGTGTTCCAGGGATAGAACCCGGTCAGCAACAGCATGCAAGGCAAGCACCCTACCCACTCTACAATAACTCTGGCCCCTTTTTTTAAGCTTTAGCCAGGAAAATAGGTTTTTAGACTTTTAAAAGTTGGTGCATTATTTAAATATAAAGTATAAATATGGGGGTCAGAGCAATGGTACAACAGGTAAAGCATTTGCTTTGCACACAGTCAATCCAGGTTCAATCCTCAGCACCCCACCTGGTCCCCCAAGCAGAGTCCCAGTTACTGTGCCAGGATAATTCCTAAGCCCAGAGCCAGGAGTAACCCTGAGCACACCTGTGTGTGGCCCAAAACAATGACAAAAATATATAATTCTTTTCTTAGCGGACCAGAGAGACAGTATAGCGGGTAGGGCACTAGAGCTTTGTAAGTGGACAACCCAGGTTTGATCCCTGGCATCCCAGATGGTCCCCTGGGGCCTACCAGAGCCAGGAGTTGGCCCTTGATGGCCCTTGAGCACCACAGGATGTGGCACCAAAAATAAAAGTTTCTTGGAGATTTATTCTTTCTCTAATCAAACTAAATCCACTCAGTATTCTCTTTTAAGAGCACGACTACAAGCAGGAGAGTTGACCCACACATCTTCTGGGAATAATCAGGAGTCAGGGATTCCATTCTGTGTTAGAAGGCCAACTGACACAATGCAAACATTTTTAAAGGGGACAGGACCATAGGACTTCCCTTCTCCTCAACGATTACAGGCTTCTGTTATGGAACTCCTGGAACATTCTGACAGAATACTAGTAAGCCAAACCCAAAGGCACACTCTGCCCAAGAGAAAACAAAGTCTGACAGATGCAAGTGTCTGAAGGCCAGTCCGAGGTCCTACACACTTATTTCCTGATGGGGTGAGCTCGATGGATCCCGGCCCTGCTCCATGGACCGCTGGCCAGTCACTCACAGAAACAGGACCTCGTTACATTACCCTCTGTTACTCAGAAAACAGAAGGCCTTAACATTTTTTTAATGAGATTGACAAACACATACTATGGGTATTCACTTCACAGGTATCTCATTCTTGAACTTGTTCATCTCTGTCTTCAAAACGACTAAAGCATACAACTTGCTCATTTTCGTGTTTTTTATGTCAAAATGTTTGTGGTCAACCAAGCATCTGTGTAAAGCTCACGTAGCAGATAAAAATACTGTTAATGAATATCTGGAATCTCTTAAAAGTTAAGCATGTCAAAGTTTGACTGTTAAGTAACGCCAAGAAGGAACATACTTTTTTTACTTAAAAAAAAAAAATCCATTAAAGAAGGCCTTTGATTCTATTGAGACAGAAGCAATCTTCGAAGCCCTAGCCAAACAGGGCATTCAAATTCAGTACATCAGGATCCTCTGCAAGCTGTGTTACGGATTCACCACCAGGATCTCACAAAGGATCTACAAAGAAGTGACCATTGACATAAAGAGAGGGGTTCAGCAGGGTAATACCATTTCACCGACACTCTTCAGTGCCACCCTCGAGAACATCATGCAATGACTGGAATGGGAAGAAATGGGAGTGAAGATAGACGGTCGGCAACTACACCACCTCCGCTTTGCTGATGACATCGTTCTAATAACACCAAACATCAGCCAAGCGGCACAAATGCTGGCCGACTTCGACTATGAGTGTACAAAGGTCAGACTGCAGCTGAGTCTCGGAAAGACAATGTTCATGAGAAACGGACTAGTCCCTGACATTCCATTTACTCTCAATGGAACAAACATCTCCGAATTCAGCAGTTATGTGTACCTAGATCGAGAACTCAGCATGACAAACAACCTAGAACCTGAGCTGCGCAGGAGGAAGAGAGCGGTCCGGAACACCTTCAAGAGCATCAAAGAAGTTGTTAAGAGGATGAAGAACCTTCGGCTCTGGGCACATCTTTTCGACTCCACCGTTCTTCCTACACTAACAAACGACTCAGAGACCTGGGCCCTATGAAAACAAGATGAGAACGCTTTTCGGGTCGCCAAGGAGGAATCGAAAGAGCTATGCTTGGAGTATCATGCTTCACTCAAGTGAGAGAAGGAATCCGAAGTTCCGACCTCCATCGACGATCGATCGAAGATCAGGGACGCTGCCTCACTTGCCAAGGCGTCGAAAATCAGATGGGCCAGACACATAATCAATTTGGAGATGACTGCTGGACTAGAGCTGTTACCGACTGGATTTCATGGAACATCAAAAGAACACCTTAGTCGCCCACCTACAAAATGGTCGGACTTCTTCAGTAAGACCTTGGACTACCGGTTTGATGCTCTTCGTGTTCCTGGAGCAAGCAGACGGCACGGGCTACAAGCACGTGACAGGGACAAATGGAGACATTACTGGCGCCCGCTTGAGCAAATCGATGAACACCGGGATGACAAATGATTACAACCGATTTTTTTAACTTTACTGAATCACCGTGAGATAGTTACAAGCTTTCATGTTTGGGTTACAATCACACAATGATCAAACTTATTTTTTAAGAGTTCGGTCTTTGGCAAGACAAACCAAGTTTGATCGTCTTATCTTACCAAGAAGGTGGTGAGAAATGGGGGTGACAGGGATAGGAGGAGGCAAAACAAGCGTGGGCAGGAAAAGACAGGGCAAATCAAAACTCAAAACTTTCTAGTACTTTTGCCTAATGGTCAAAGCTGTGAATGACATTTTCATCACAGCACAGGTAATTTTTTGAACTGCTTCGTTTGAGGGTCACACCCAGCATTGCTCAGGGGCTCTGCGCTCAGGGTTCACTCGTGATGGTGCCCAGGATTGAACCCGGGTCAGCAGCTTGCAAAGCAAATGCCCTACTCCAGCCCCAACAACACAGGTATTATTAAAAGGGGATAGCAGTTGTATATCTAAAAATATATAAATGTATAGAACAGATAGCAATTATGTCTGTATACATGCATAGAAAAGTACTTTCATCCCCAAAGTCATATTGTAACCACCAACTCTTATGAAAAAAAAAGAGACATCAGCTTGCTATTCAGTTGACCACTGGAGGAGGAGATTCTACTAGACCATTCCAGATTCCCTTTTACATCACCATCGAATGACCATGTTTGTTCAGGATCTGATAGCCAAATGCTCAACAACAACAAAAAGTCAGGTGGTAAGATACAGCAAAAGAGATGCAGTAATTCAACTCATCTTAAACTTACATGGCACCACAGGAACACAAGTCCTGCTATTTCCTTTATAAGTTACATACAACTTTATATATAATCACTTAATGGAAGCAGTGACAGAATTGGTACTAGAAAAAACAACTGATATTTCTAGCAGAATCTCAAGTTTTTCATTACTGTATAGAATTTAGTGTGGATGTTTCAACAACACATGGAAGCAAAGCTTTTCTATTTAAAGAAAGGTATCAAAAACTAAAGAACTGTGTGAGGCATTTCATTTTTTTACAACAGTGACCAGTAAAATAGATTAGAAACAACATGGAAGGAGGGCTCAGGGAACGATGAAAGTACCAAAAGCAAAAAAAAAACAAAACAATTTCAGATGTATTGTTCAGTTACCTGGAATCAGGGCATGAAGATGCATAAAACATTCTGAAAAATGGAAGCACCAGAAAAGAAGTCTATTATTCCTAACGTGGGTGAACCCGGTAGAGATTATGACAAGAAACACACCCAGGGATGGGAGATGCTGGTCAGTTCCTCTCAAGCCCTTCCACGCAAACTTCATGCTCTGCCTTTGGTAATGAAAACAGTAGCTCAGAGATGGAATGCAGAAAAGCCAGTACATGATTTTTCTAATTAAATGAGAATTTTAAGTCTACAACCTGGGATTCTCAAAGGTAAAATAACCGAGCTGGGTCATCACAGAGGCCGTCCGTGACAATCTGGATGAAGCTGAAATGTCTGCATAAACCTTGCTGTGATCTCTGAACTGATGAGATGAGTGATCTAATGCTTTCACAGCAAGACCCATGTAAGTGAAACTCTGCCACAAGGTACAAATTCACATGGGCTCCTGTATGTGAAAAGTGATTCTTGAGCAATTTCTTTGTGAACCCCCTA